TACAGAGGCAAAAACTCCATAGCTGGGTCTCAGGAGGATATTAATGCTGTTGCTTTTTCATTCTATTTTTACACAGAAAGGCAGTGTTTTATATATATATATTTTAACCAAAATATTGCCTGAAATGTGTTGCTAACTTCTATTTCGAGGTGAAATAGTATTTAAAAACAACAAAAAAACTCATTTTTAAATAATGATGAAAATGGAAGATCCAAATTACACCAATGTTAGAAATGCAAGGTTAGTTATATTCTCTCTCTCTCTCTATATATATATATATATCTCATATTGTACTTGAGTATTATATTGTACATTTTTAAATGTCAAATAATTATTAAAATAGCTTCATATAAATTAAAGAACTTTTTGTAATATTCCATAAAAACAACAATTTTTGTTTTGAATATTAAAATTTTGCCCTCATCACAGTTGTGATGACCAGATATCTGCTACTTATTATTATCAAGTTTTCTAAAACCACAAGAAAAAGTTTGCAGAATTACAAGCGATTGTGCAGATCAAACTTTTATTAGGTTGAACTCAACCTGGGTTCTCTCGGATCACTGAGTGAGAACATCTGATAGGTAGACTTGCAGCCTAAATAATAGATCACACACCACCCAGAATATTTTATCAGATAAAAAAAGTATTATACAAAATGTGTAAAATATAATAAGATAATAAAACAACTGTAATTGCACTTGCAATGGAGTTTAATATTTCACTTCATTTAAAACTAAAGGAAAGATAGATCAGCAGTTATAGATTATGTGTGTGAATTATATTTGCTAGATAAAATGACCTACTAACAGATAACCATGATAAAACTTAGTAGTAATATTATTAGCTAGCAGAGTCTAATAAAACGGCTCATCTTTAGGAGACCAAATTCACTTACTCCCTCGAAGAAAAAGTACAGTTCCTCCACAGAGAGAATAATTTAACCACTGGACTAGCAGCTTGTGTTTAGAAAAAGCACAGTCCAGCAGTTTAGGTTGAAAATGTGAAGTCTCTTTGTTTCATCGAGGAGTCCTATCTTTCGGACCTTTCCTGTGTCTATATCGAGGTTTTCGGTGAGGCCCTGGAGGTCTCGTGGATCCCCCTGGAGGCGTGTGTGGATTGTGGCATGGCTCAGGCTCACCAAACCTGTAGGAGGGAAGCGGAGGTGGATAATGTCCAAAGTGGAATCCTCTGACGCTCTGGTTGGGAAAACAGGGTCTCACGCCCTGCGGTGGATGAGGAATCAAGGGCGGACGGAAGAACTGGTGCTCAGGTGGTCCGAACCAAGTCATGTTGTTCTGGTGAAACGGTCTGAGGAGAAATTGTGAGATTGAGTAAAGAGACAGCTTTCATCCAGGAAGAAAGACCAATTTGATATAATGTTGTCTAAAGATCTGAGCTTACAAAAACTGATTCTGGGGTTCCCTGTGCCATTGGTGAGGTTCTTGTCCATTAAAAGGAGGATCATGGTTATGCTGTTCCCTTCGATGATGATGATGAGGAGGAGGAGGAGGAGGAGCATCATCTTGTGGCTCGTTTGCAAGTCCCTGGGCAGGTTCTTGGTCTGGTTCCTCCATTCCCTCATTACTGCACAAAAGTTAATTGCAATTAGTTATCTTTTCTTTTTTTTCTTTTTTTAAATGGAACATTTAGACAAATTATAAACTAAAATCTAAAAAAGTCTGCATGTGTGTTTTATGTGTATCATATTCGATACATTAGGGGGTTTTATGGCTCATATAGTAGAAGAACATAGTGAAAATATGAAACTCATAATCGAGGAGGAAAAAACGGAGCCCAAACTGAGCAAATATATACAATTTGGTGAAGTTGCTAATATTTATATGGTCAAAAACATGAAATTCTGGTAACCTGTAATGTTAATCACAGAGTTCCATGTAACTGCATAACTGAATACTTACATAAAATGCATATAAATATCACTTGTCGTCTTAGTAAGATGATATTAAATGCTTAGTTTTATGATCTATTGTGGGAGGCAAAACATATAATGCAATCCAATACAATGATGATTAAGAGATGAACAAACAAGCATTTCTTAAAAAACTGATGATCATAATTGATAGTCACATTTGAACATGATTGGTGTATGAATACTCAAGTAACCACAAGTTGTTTCAGGCCAGCAAATGTTTATCTTGGATATTACAAACAATATAAAAGTTCTTACGCTTACTTTTTAAAGATCAGTAAAGAAAAAAATAAGTGTATCATGACCTGAACATTTCTGTAATGCTACTAAAAGGCCTTTTACTTGCTAAAAAGTTCTAAACTATGAGAAACAGACGGCAGAAGGCATGTAGTAGACTGTGCAGCAGTTTTAATCATGCTGATCATTTAGAGGCATTAGAAATGAATGTATTAATAAATATATTATATACAGTGTGTTTTACGTGGCTCTAATGGCATGTAGAAGAGCTCACCTTCTCTTGGGCCCTGTCCTCAGGTCATCAAGATAATTCTGCCTCTCAACTGAGTGTCCCCTTGATTCATTGAATACTTGGAAGAAATCAGAGCATTCAAATACAAATACCTAAAAGCATGCAAATACATACAGTACGTTTAAGTGAGCATACTTACAATTAATCGCTTTTTGGGGGTTCATCCCATCAACATCGATTAGGTATCTATGACACAATATTAAACAGTGACCACTGCTGGATGCACTAGCTCATCTGAAGACAAAGTTAAGGGATCACAAATATGGAAAATGTTACTCACCGACATATTAAATAGCCAGTGCGATTCAAACCATGCGTGCAATGAACACCAATCAGCTTATCTGTTTAAAACAAAGTAAAAAAAAAAAACATGTGTAAATGTTGCAACCTAATTTACTTCAGTAATATGACATTTCTCAGTGAAACGAGATATTAAACATTAGGATGGGTCGTTAAAATAAAAAAAAAAGGACAGCATTCAAAATGTTTGCATTTTGATGAGCATTATTTGTCTTTTGAATAACACGCATTGATGAATTGTTCACTATACAACCAGGAACATGTACTGCTGTTTAAAAGACAGCTTTCATCCAGGAAGAAAGACCAATTTGATATAATGTTGTCTAAAGATCTGAGCTTACAAAAACTGATTCTGGGGTTCCCTGTGCCATTGGTGAGGTTCTTGTCCATTAAAAGGAGGATCTTGGTTATGCTGTTCCCTTCGATGATGATGATGAGGAGGAGGAGCATCATCATCTTGTGGCTCATTTGCAAGTCCCTGGGCGGGTTCTTGGTCTGGTTCCTCCATTCCCTCATTACTGCACAAAAGTTAATTGCAATTAGTTATCTTTTCTTTTTTTTTCTTTTTTTAAATGGAACATTTAGACAAATTATAAACTAAAATCTAAAAAAGTCTGCATGTGTGTTTTATGTGTATCATATTCGATACATTAGGGGGTTTTATGGCTCATATAGTAGAAGAACATAGTGAAAATATGAAACTCATAATCGAGGAGGAAAAAACTGAGCCCAAACTGAGCAAATACATACAATTTGGTGAAGTTGCTAATATTTATATGGTCAAAAACATGAAATTCTGGTAACCTGTAATGTTAATCACAGTTCCATGTAACTGCATAACTGAATACTTACATAAAATGCATATAAATATCACTTGTCGTCTTAGTAAGATGATATTAAATGCTTAGTTTTATGATCTATTGTGGGAGGCAAAACATATAATGCAATCCAATACAATGATGATTAAGAGATGAACAAACAAGCATTTCTTAAAAGACTGATGATCATAATTGATAGTCACATTTGAACATGATTGGTGTATGAATACTCAAGTAACCACAAGTTGTTTCAGGCCAGCAAATGTTTATCTTGGATATTACAAACAATATAAAAGTTCTTACGCTTACTTTTTAAAGATCAGTAAAGAAAAAAATAAGTGTATCATGACCTGAACATTTCTGTAATGCTACTAAAAGGCCTTTTACTTGCTAAAAAGTTCTAAACTATGAGAAACAGACGGCAGAAGGCATGTAGTAGACTGTGCAGCAGTTTTAATCATGCTGATCATTTAGAGGCCTTAGAAATTCATGTATTAATAAATATAATATATACAGTGTGCTTTACGTGGCTCTAATGGCATGTAGAAGAGCTCACCTTCTCTTGGGCCCTGTCCTCAGGTCATCAAGATAATTCTGCCTCTCAACTGAGTGTCCCCTTGATTCATTGAATACTTGGAAGAAATCAGAGCATTCAAATACAAATACCTAAAAGCATGCAAATACATACAGTACGTTTAAGTGAGCATACTTACAATTAATCGCTTTTTGGGGGTTCATCCCATCAACATCGATTAGGTATCTATGACACAATATTAAACAGTGACCACTGCTGGATGCACTAGCTCATCTGAAGACAAAGTTAAGGGATCACAAATATGGAAAATGTTACTCACCGACATATTAAATAGCCAGTGCGATTCAAACCATGCGTGCAATGAACACCAATCAGCTTATCTGTTTAAAACAAAGTAAAAAAAAAAAACATGTGTAAATGTTGCAACCTAATTTACTTCAGTAATATGACATTTCTCAGTGAAACGAGATATTAAACATTAGGATGGGTCGTTAAAATAAAAAAAAAAGGACAGCATTCAAAATGTTTGCATTTTGATGAGCATTATTTGTCTTTTGAATAAGACGCATTGATGAATTGTTCACTATACAACCAGGAACATGTACTGCTGTTTAAAAATAATTAAAAAAAATTAATGTTTTTATTCAGCAAGGATGCATTCAATTAATCAAAAGTGACATTTATCATGTTACAAAAGATATCAATTTCTAATAAAAGCTGTTATTTTGAACTTTCTATTCATCAAGGAATCCTGAAACTGTTTTCAACATTAATAATAATAATAAATTTTTTGAGCATCAAATCAGCATGTTTGAAGAACGATTTCTGAAGGATCATGCGATACTGAAGACCGGAGTAATGATCCTGAAAATTCAGCTTTACCATCACAGGAATCAATTATATGTAATACAGTTATTATAATACAGTTTTTACTGTATTTTTGATTAAATAAATGCCGTCTTGGTGAGCATAATAGTCTTTTTTCATAAACATTTGAAAAATCTTACCAGCCCCATACCTTTGAATGGTTGTGAATGAAAGTAATTTCTGATTTCACCTTAATTTAATTACCTATAACTTACCATTGTTTTCATTCTCACGCAGAAAATGTCTGACAGCCTTCTTGAAGCTGAGAATCGTGGCATCGTTTGGCACTTCATGCCCTGCTGTGAAGATCTTCAGGTGGTACAATGCGTTTGGCAAATCCTGACACAAACCCAACCACACAATTAGAGACAATCACTACAACCACGTCCCTCCACCCTGACAAAAACTCATCAACTCCTATCTCGTTAAGCTGGATTCTCCAGCAGGGAGGAGATGCTCACACATTCATGATGAGAAAATATGATTAGCTAGTTATTTAGTCTTCAATTCCTACCTCTACTTTGTAATAGCGAGTTGTGAAGGTCAGATCAATGATGAGACCCAGTTCTTGTCCTTCCTTCTCCAACATATGCACAAGATCAAACGGTCCAAAGGCTTCTGATTGCGTTAAATGATATCTGAAAGACTACAACAGAAAGCACTGGAATTAAATCTAAGCTCTCACGCACATTTCAAACAGGTGGAGGATTTGTCAATGTCTTCAAACCGGTTTTAAGGGGACTTTAAAGGCGATGAAGCGAGTTCCAGGGATCCGTTTACCCACTGCTGTATAGTCTGTCCATCTAAAGGAGACACACAACTTTAGCAAACAATCCTTGAAGCTTAACTTGTTAATGAAACTTATGAAAATGATAAAAACTAACCTGTCAGGAACGGCGTTTTTCTTTTTTGCAGGCATGTCTTCACAGCAGCTGCTTGACCCATACACTTTGGCAAAACACAGCTATGTCTGATTACATCCCATACGTGATTGACATAACCGTAAGCAGAATTCGTACAAACTCTAAAACACGAACTATTTATGAATTAGTTTGATTACGTATCAGATATGAGAGTTCACGTACATATAAGAATCAGACACTGGTTTAGTTTCACTTTTAGCCATTACCAAAACAAACTTAATTTAACAGATATTTTGGCTTAAACAGTCTCTTTAAGCGTGTTCACGCCCCGTATGCCATCACAACAGAAATAATAATTAAATACAATAAAGAATAACGCATTTTACTGAAAAGTAAACCACTACCTCTGTAAGATTCCCCCACTTCCGGGTTACGTTACCGACACAGTACTAGCGTGCCCAGCTCCAGCAGACGCAATTCATCCGCTGGGAACTGCGCTCTGCTGCCGCGCTCAGGCCGGGAGGTGAACCTGCAACCAGTGTTTTAGTAGATTTAGCAACTTTTCAGACTACCCTAGCAACTTTTTCTTCCAAAAGCACCTAGCAGCAAATTTAGCTATTTAAAAAAATGTATGGGAACATTTAGCAACTTTTGATAAGTGACTCAAACGATAAAAAGGCACACATTTTCCATCTAAATTACACAAAAAGAGGAAACCAAAGGTGCCTAGCAGTACACAATTCACATGAATTAAGTTGGCTGCTATTAGCAATTGTTTAATGTAATAATAATCATTGAATAATTGTTCATTTATGATACACCTTGTTAGTAGCTTGTACTTGAGTTTGTTGGTCAGTTAGTGCACGGTAAGAAAAATATCTCGAAAAATGAAAAAGGTAGTAATTTTCCAGGACATTATCCGTTATCCACTGTAACCCGAAAACACAAAATACAATGCGTAATTTAAAATGTAGGTAAAAAAACGTGTGAATAATAATTATGGAAAATTCCTTCAGAAAATATCTCGAAAAATGAAAAAGGTCCGTTATCCACTGTAACCCGAAAACACAAAATACAATGCGTAATTTAAAATGTAGGTAAAAAAACGTGTGAATAATAATTATGGAAAATTCCTTCACATTAATAGATTTTGCCCTATTTTTACAGACTTTTCTTAGAGTGTAGCATACGAACTACTAATACACTGCTTAAATCTATAATCGTTCAGAATGAGTAGTTTTACTAGTTTACTAGCTAATAAAAATCAACTTAAATTGTAATCGTTAAAAAGTGTGAAAGTGTTAAATAATTCAATGTTGTATTTAAAATTAGTTATTTATATTTTTATATTATATTGTGCATTTATATTATTTTATAAACACATCTAAATTAACCTATTTACATTTTTATTTTTTGCTGAGATTTGATGCAGTGACGCAATTTTGCATTTTGCAACTTTTAGCAACAAATCAATCTTCCTTTAGCAACTTCCCCTGAAAATTAGTTGGCAACACTGCCTGCAACCCGACCACAACTGAAACGCTTGCACGGTCACTCGTATGGAAGCCCATTTCCGCTACTGAATAAAAAATAAAAGAGGTAATTGCGACTTTTTATCTCACAATTCTGACTTTTAAAAGAAAAAAAGTCGCAATTACCTTTCTTTAAAATTTTTTTTTATTGAGTGGCGGAAACGGGCTTCCATACACTCGAGACTGGCTTTCTACTTGTGGAATATTTTTGTGTAACAGCCGCTAACTGTATAAAATGACCACGGTTACGTTGTTGAACTTACTTGCTAAACACTTGGAGGGTAATGGGTCTCATGCTAGACTTTTATTCGTTGATTTTTCATCTGCTTTTAACACAATCCAACCCCATGTTCTAATTAATAGGCTTTTAGAACTTTATAAAGTGGTGTGAGATGTCCTATCTCCAATTAAACTTGTCTAAGACAAAATATATGATTATTGCTTTTAGGAAACAAGCCCACCCACATGAAGTTACATCTATTAAAAGTCAGAAAATAGAATCTGTGCAATCTTACAAATACCTTGGGACTATCATTGACCCTAAGTTGAACTTTGAAGCAAATTGTGAAGCAGTGTGTAAAAAGGGGCACCAGCGTCTGTTTTGTTTAAGGAAATTGGCCCATTTTCACATTGACAGGACCATGATGATGTTATTTTATCATGCTTTTATTGAATCACTCTTAACATGTTCTCTGGTGTCTTGGTTTGGAAACTTGTCTGTAAAGAACAAGAATTCACTGAGTGAATTCAGCTGATTGGGGAGTCACAGCTTAGTCCAGCATCCCTGTATACCAGACAGTTACAGCGGATGACTAACTCAATTCTAAATGATGACTCTCATCCTTTGAACAATGAATTTAAACTTCTGCCATCTAGATGTAGATTTGTATTTCCGTATTGTAGAACTAAGCGCTATAAAAGCTGCTTTGTGCCAGCAGCTATCACTCAGTTGAATAAGGATAGGTCTTAGGAACATTATTATTTATTTTTTGGTAATTTATTGTTTTTTTTTAGTGATGCTGGGAACCTTAAAGCACTTTTATCATATATGTTGTTTAATGTTTGTGGTGTCTGTAAAATGTGAAAGATGTGAGAACTCATAACACTGCAAACCTCTACCTATGGGTACAAATAAAGTGAACCTGAACCTGACCATTGTCTACCGATTATAAAAATGTCCAGCGCTGTTCACACCAAGGACGTTAAATATAAAAAAGCCAGCCAAAGCGCAAACGCAGATTTGAATTTAGCAGCTGATGCTGTGCACGTTCTAATCACGCCGGTGTGATTGTATGAAATATAAAAAATATTATTTTGCAATTTTTTGTCTTTTGGAAGCTGCATTCAAAATCCACTTGGCTCAAAAATCTGAGGGGGGCACGTGCCCCCTCACTTTGAATGGGCATGACGCCTCTGTTCCAAATTCAAGTGGAACAAACGTCACAAAGTCTTGTACCACTCAGATGAATACTCAAATTTTAAAAAATAAATAAAAATAAAAAATCCGGGTCAAAATGACCTGAAGGAAGGATGAGGGTTAAAGGGGTGTAAATGAGATTCCAGTCAGGTTGGGGTCGCTCCATACCGCTCACTTTATCCCTTCAACATGTTTGATTGAGTAATAAATTAATCATTAATATATATTAATATAACTAAATTTACTTTCACACTTTTAGAGCACAAGCATGAATATGGCTCTGAACATTATTTTGAGTAACTTGATGAGTAAACTTTAACTACTTGAATGCATGGCAGAAGCACCAAGAATTGAACTCTCACAAACCAGGAAACACTTGGGTGTTTCTTAGGTAGACAGACTGGGGAAGTCTGGCACACATGCAGGGAAAGCTGCAATGTACGTAATCAAAAGCAATGTTTCTTTGGAACCACATGTGCACTTGTGACTATTTGCCTATAAACAATTGATTTTTTTTTCTACGTTGGTTGGTTTCAAATCTTATACAATTTGTTTATTATAATATCTGTTGGCCAATGCTTATTTTTGTATACTAACTTTTGATAATTGTTTAGTTCAGATGAGGTAAGTTGTTCTGAACATTATGTAGAACAACTTTAACACTAAATGAAACCCGCAAACAGTGGGAATGAGATTCTTTACCAGGAAAGAAGACAGACTGATAAGAGAGAGGAAGTATGAGACAAGGGGAATGCAGTGTGAAATTATCAAAGGAAAAATTCCTCTGAAGATAGGCTATGCATGCTACCAAACCACGTGTCCAGTTTAGGAACTCAGTAGCTGTTTGTCGCCAAGACGTTACACTGAAAAAATGTTCAGATGAGGTAAGTTGTTCTGAACATTATGTAGAACAACTTTAACACTAAATGAAACCCGCAAACAGTGGGAATTAGATTCTTTACCAGGAAAGAAGACAGACTGATAAGAGAGAGGAAGTATGAGACAAGAAGAAGATATCTGAAGATAGGCTATGCATGCTACCAAACCACGTGTCCAGTTTAGGAACTCAGTAGCTGTTTGTCGCCAAGACGTTACACTGAAAAAAAAAAAAAGTGTAGGATTTGAAAAAGTTTAGAAACTGCTAGTCGTTTTCGCAAATAATTACAAAGAAAAGGCATGTAGCACATTGAATTAAACATCACATTTTTAAGTAAAGACTGAAATGTATTTCCTTGTAAAATGTACTTCAATAATCTTTTTTTCTTTGAAAACTCTTTTTTACAGTGTGCATATCAACAGATTTATTTCCAAAAAATAATAATAATAGTAGTAGTAATAAACTACCCTGAAGAGTAAATACCTAAAAAACACCTGAAAGGTTTATTCCCTTTTACGTTGGCAGACATTGTATAATCACAAGAGGTGATGACACAAAGATGTCGCCTAGAAGTGGCATTCTCCATAAAGGGGAAATGACTTCATGCAAATAAGGGCTGGACTAGAGTATAAAATATGCAGACGGACTCCTGAGAGAACTCATCCATCTTATTCTGACACGATTTGATTGCATTAAAATTCAGAGTTTGACAGAAGAGAATACCATGTATTTATGTAATTTTCCTTTCACTGCTGACAAGACTGTGAAGAACAGGGCATTGATAGTGTCTGTGGAGAACTAAATGTGTTGTTTCATATCTGCAGTGATATTTCATGTTATGTGATAAGACCTCCTCTAAAAACATTACTTAAGTTCATGTTTAACAGTATATTATCAGCAAACTGATTTATCTCTAACATGACTTCTTTTTAACCCAGTATTGTTGTTGTAAAGTCTAGTTGAAAAACAATTTGATTATTTTATTTATACAAAGAAAAATATATTGTATGGATGAGTTATATTTGGTGTTTTTATATTTTATTGATTCCATGAGTCAATGGGTTTGCACGGAAGAGATTTTACCATTATGTCCTGATATTATAATGACAGTTATGACCGCAGATTTTTAGGGTAACAACAGAAATGGAACTTGCACAAACCATTAAGAATACGCACTAACTCTGCCCTCCATCCTCAGAGAGCAAGAAGACGGTCAAAGACTGTTTTGTGGGCGTTATATCCAGTCATGGTGAGGAGGGTGTTGTGTTTGGCGCTGATGGACGTGCTGTGAAACTGGCTGAGATCTACAGCTACTTTGGAAGCCTGTCAATGGCAGACAAGAGCAAACTCTTTCTGATCCAGGTACATTTTGTGAAAACAGCCAAAGCGTTTTTACTCCTATTCTTGCATAAGATCCTATACTGTACTTCAGCAAATATTGATGGCTGTGTTGATATTGAATTCCTTTGACTCTCTGGTACTGCTCAACCATTTAAAGCCTAAAAATGTTGCATTTTGAATTTTACTTTAAAAAAAAAAAAATTAAATTCATCCGAAAGGTGACATTTGTGGCAATTGTAATGTGAACACACAAAAATTTGTGGACATGATTTGAAAAAAAATTTACTTTTCACATGACCACCATAGGAAATTAAAGGGAAATACGAAATATACAGCATTTTTTGGGGTTTCCCTCGGTTTATTGCATGGCTACTCATCAAATAAGTCCATGCATGGATGTTAAATGTTGATATTTCATAATTTTAACTATATTTTCCTTAAAGCTAGTAACCAAATGTTTATGATTATCCCATCTTTCTGCTCTTCAGGCTTGTCGAGGGCATGGGTTGGATGAAGGTGTGGAGGCTGACTCTTCGTTCTCAGAGTCTGAGCTCTTTTCCATCCCTAACTCCATCACATTGTTTGCATAGTTTGTAAAATTACAAACTCTTCAGTTCTTCACTCACGTTCATTTGTTTTATAGGTTACGGTGCATTCATGCATCCTCTGGGCTCTGAGTTGATTCAAACCTTTTGTAAATTGCTAGAAGGAGGAGGTCCGGATCTGGAGATCACAAGACTCCTGACTCGAATAAACTTCCAGGTGGCCTACAACTTTGAATCCAGAGGGAAACTGTTGGGTGGCAAGAAACAGATGCCGTGCTTTGTGACCCGCTTTACCAGAGAGGTTTTCCCGTTCAGAAAGATGGCAGCAGCAGAAGATTTGAGCTTGACCTTTGCAGCCACGCAGCTTATCGATGAACCCAATCGATCACGGAAGAGCTCCATCAGCTGAACAGAGACGGACGGGAAGAATATGTGGAGAAACTGATTCATGTTAGATATCACATTATCTCATTTGATGAGATAACATAGCATCACGTAAAGTCGCACATGTAATAGGAAGTGAGGTGTTGGGAAACGTGCAGGATGTGACTTGTTTCATAGTGCTGTGTTTGCTACTTCCTTTTATGCGTTTCCCTAAAGTAAAGCAATCATTTTTTGTTTCATTTGAAAGAGTATTGAATAAAAAAATAAATGTTAAAAAAAATATTTATATATAAATCTTGAAAGTGTTTAAGTGTTAAGAGTTTATCTGTACTATACTGTATGTGACATTCAAATAAAACCTAAACTGGACGATCCTTGAAGCTCAATGTCTTACCAAATTCATAATCAATCTGTATGAACTCTGTTGCAACAGCATATTAATGATGAAACGCCATTTCTGGGAAACACTCGTGTAATCATAATCCTGATCCTGATCGAATTCGAAACTAAAGTCATGCCCAGGTTTCTGTATCTCAGGTTACGTCATATTCATACCTTGCCCTTGGTATATTTACTGTATTTCAAGGTGTGAGTGTTTATTGCACGCTCTGTACTTTTGCAAGTGCTCATATGATGCGAGTTGACAGCCAATCCAGACACGCAAGATTTCAACATGGCCTGTTGGTCACAAACACTAACGCCAGGTTCCATTTAACTGTGTAGAGTGATGACTAGTATGTGTGCTTATTGTGAATAAGACACCAAAGTATCTGGTGAATCTCCACATACCGGAACTACCAGAATGCAATACTTATCTCTGAGCATCTTAACCTGATAGACGTGCATCATTTTACTGAACTGAAGAACGTCTTGACGTGAAGGATCAGAACGCGCTGTACCAAGAGTACTTTATCAAGAATAACAGACGTCGATGCCAACAAGCAATCTGCATGAAGTCTGCTTACGGTTTTACATTCATAAAGGATAAACAGGTACAGATAAACATCAACTTCTGTGGGAAGAACACGACTGCAGAACTAATTTGTTGCTTACACAATGCTGCGTTGTAAATCATGCTGTCTGTCTACTGTGTACATGCATATCTACCCTTCCTTGGTACAAATAAAGGTGTGCGATCTCACCCTGAAAGCTTTTGTGATTTCTCTTAAATGGTAAAGCAAGCAGAAACTAATATATTCAACTTCTATTATGTGGCACAATGAACAGAGATCAGCAAATCTGATATAATATATATAATCTCCCTCTCTCTCTCTCTCTCTCTCTCTCTCTCTCTATATATATATATAAGTAGTGTTATTTTAATGTAAAAATTCAATTTTATATAATGTAATCACTAATCATATACAATTTTAATTTATGGCTGGATGTTTATTAAATACATTTGAATTATATTATTTACTGAAAGAAAATCTATTTTCCTTTTTAAAAAATTTTTACTATTCATTTTGTTGCGATGCACTTTCCTTACATTCTCCTTTACCGATAAACCATTGCAGGTTAGTTGGAAGATAAATACACCTACAAATGTAGAAAATTGCCTGCTAAAGCTGAAGCTTCTGATTTGTCAAGGAATTGCCAGTGTTGCATAGATCAGACTGATGACACAGAAAACGCTGGGAGGAAACTCCATATAGGGCATGAGTCATGACAGACAGAAGAAATGAGAATCATAAATGCTGTACTCATCAATTATATGAAATTCAGACAGACTCATAAAGTAGGCTCTCCTTATTCTCACACAGTTTGTGACTGCATTACACCTCAGAAGAGAAGGAAAGATGATGTCTTGTAAATTTCCTTTGACAGCAAACAAGAGGATGAAGAACAGGGCGTTGATAGTGTCTGTGGAGAACTTCTATCCAGGTGCAGGTCTGAAAAACAGGAACGGTGCGAAGAGAGACACTCGAAGACTTCACAAAATCCTCAGCAAGCTCGGCTTCTCTGTGGACATCAGAATGGACATCGAAAAAGATGAGATCTATGAAGCATTTAAAGCAGGTAAGATATTTAGTCTAATAATTAAAATGAAAAAAATCTATTTCTTTCCAAGCAGACTTCATGTTTCACATCTGCAATGCTTTTTTTCTTCTTCTTCTTAAAAACACGTTACCTAAGGTCATTTATTGGTGCCAAAGTCCCATGCTTGTTAATAACACCGTCCTCATTTATCAGCAAGCATTATTAAACAATTTATCTCTGGCACAAACTCTTTTAAAATAACTATTTTAATATACAAAGAAATGAAGATTTGTGTTGGGTTTTGAGGATGTTGCTATCATCAGAAATGAATGAGTGAATCATATGAGCAATACAACTACTAGTTGATGACTAAAAGTCACACAGACTCAAATCTGAACACGATACGCACTATGAATGAAACAGATTGTGACCTCAAACAATGACAGCTTATTAGACACGCATGCAGAATTTGTCCATTATATTTAATTACACATCACTAACTTTAACGAATTCTATGCCCTCCATCCTCAGAGAGCAAGAAGACGGTCAAAGACTGTTTTGTGGGCGTTATATCCAGTCATGGTGAGGAGGGTGTTGTGTTTGGCGCTGATGGACGTGCTGTGAAACTGGCTGAGATCTACAGCTACTTTGGAAGCCCGTCAATGGCAGACAAGAACAAACTCTTTCTGATCCAGGTACATTTTGTGAAAACTTTCTCGCAGCCAAAGCGTTTTTACTCCTATTCTTGCATAAGATCCTATACTGTACTTCAGCAAATATTGATGGCTGTGTTGATTTTGAATTCCTTTGACTCGCTGGTACTGCTCAACCATTTAAAGCCTAAAAATGATGCATTTTGAATTGTACTTTTTATTTTTATTTTTATTTTTATTAATTCATCCGAATGGTGACGTTTGTGGCAATTGTAATGTGAACATACAAAAAATTGTGGACATGATTTGAAAAAAAACTTTACTTTTCACATGACCACCATAGGAAATGAAAGGGAAATACGAAATATACAGCATTTTTTTGGGTTTCCCTCAGTTTATTGCATGGCTACTCATCAAATAAGTCCATGCATGGATGTTAAATGTTGATATTTCATAATTTTAACTATATTTTTCTTAAAGCTAGTAACCGAATGTTTATGATTATCCCATCTTTCTGCTCTTCAGGCTTGTCGAGGGCGTGGGTTGGATGAAGGTGTGGAGGCCGACTCTTCATTCTCAGAGGAAGAGGACGGCATGTCTGAGCTCTTTTCCATCCCTATTGACACAGCAGTCATGTACGCCACATCTCCAGGTGTGATTTATGAACTCCATCACATTGTTTGCATAGTTTGTAAAGTCACAAACTCTTCAGTTCTTCACTCACGTTCATTTGTTTTATAGGTTACTGTGCATTCATGCATCCTCTGGGCTCGGAGTTGATTCAAACCTTTTGTAAATTGCTAGAAGAGGAAGGAGGTCCGGATCTGGAGATCACAAGACTCCTGACTCGAATAAACTTCCAGGTGGCCTACAACTTTGAATCCAGAGGGAAACTGTTGGGTGGCAAGAAACAGATGCCGTGCTTTGTGACCCGCTTTACCAGAGAGGTTTTCCCGTTCAGAAAGATGGCAGCAGCAGAAGATTTGAGCTTGACCTTTGCAGCCACGCAGCTTATCGATGAACCCAATCGATCACGGAAGAGCTCCATCAGCTGAACAGAGACGGACGGGAAGAATATGTGGAGAAACTGATTCATGTTAACTCTTCTATAGCATCTCTCAATGTATCTCACAGGAGACGGATAATGAATCAAGTGAGTCATGTCACAAAGTTTCACGTCCAGCAGGAAGTGAGCGGTTGCGAAAGTTGCACAATGTGATATTACGTGGTTTTTTAGTGCTCCATTTATGTGTCATGTGTTTTTGCTATTGCTACCTCATTATGCATATAACCTACTTATTCTCTATATACACTACTCTTCAAAAGTTTGAGGTCATTAAAAATTTGTAATGCTTTTGAAAGAAGTCTCTCATGCTGACCAAGGCTACATTTATTTGATCAAAAATACAACATAAAACGTCATATTGCTAAAATATCATTTCTATTTAAATAGCGGTTTTCTATCATATGATCTTAATTTATGTCCCCCCCCCCATAAAATATTATAATCATTCGAATACTGATTTGGTGCTCAAGAAACATTTCTTATTATTATCAATGCTTAAAACAGTCGTGCTGCTTAATAAAATAATTAGTAATACTTTTCAGGATTCTTTGATGAATAGAAAACCCAAATTAATATTTAGTTTTTTATTTGGAATAGAAACATAATTGTCTTTACTGTCCCATTTGATCAACTCAGTGTCCTTGCTTAAATAAAATTATACATTTCTTTCTAAAGATATGAAATACCTAAAGAGTAATCAAAATAACAATTTAAATAATTTAAGTTAAGAATATAAGTTTTGCTAGTAATAAAAATTCTTAGAATACGTACGTGTAAAAAAAAAAAAGAGAGAGCTTGAAACGGTTCAAATGCAAATGCAGTGGCTTAGACTGACCTAAATTAGAACAACGAAACTAAAACAAATTCATAAAATTAAAATATCAAGCAATTGTGTCTAGTGTCAAAAATGCAACATTTACATAAGGTGTGACGCAACTGCCATTTGATTGTATTCCTGATGATTTCAGAGAAAACTAATGTGATAATGTTGACCATATGCTTTTTGAGTTTAAAATAAAACTGAAAGAAAGGTTCAGCTGCCTGTGACTCATATTAAGTAATCGTAGTTGCACTTTGCCCCTGACATATTTACTGTAATTGAAGGTGTGTACAGGATTGCACATGACTGACTGAATGAATGAAATCTCATGAACGAATGTGGAGTGACAGCAGATCCAGACAAGCAGGATTTCATCAGTGCACACGGCCTGCTGAGCACAAATGCTGATGCCAGAATCCATAGGAATACATTTCACTCAAGAGCACTGAAGGGTTTTTGCTCATTTGAATGAACACAGATGACCAGTTTTTTTATGCTCGAAGAGTTAATTGTTTTTAGTTATGATAATTGCAACAAAACAAGTGAAGATGTATTTTGGCTTAAT